AGCACACTAAAATTCAACCCTTCCCCAAAGAAATAAATATTTACAATCCTGGAAACAACGGCACTCCCATATTTTTTTTAGATTGGGTTTTTCTTTCTCCTTGTTTCCTTTAATACATTCCCCTCTCTGAATTTAAATCAAATCCTAACAAGATATGTAAGTATGTACGTGTCCAGAAAATAAATACAATTTTGACACCCAGTTCATCATCATCCCATCTAATTTTTCCCGTTTATTACACAAGTTGAAGACAGAAAGAGGGGAAAAAAACTTTCTCTTTCTGTCTTTGTTTCATGAACTGAATAGGACTCGGGTTCCTTCCGTTACTTTCTTCACCCTCATTTCCGCCCCAAATTGAGTAGTGACGGGGAATGGAATGGGAGCACTTTCTCTCTGTCAGGGAGATACACTCTTAATAATTCGGGGGTAAACGTTAGGGCATGTTAGGATTTTAAGGTGAGATGATATAGGAGGAATTTTAGTTTAAAAAATAAGAAAAAAGGGTTTTCTAACTCGTAAAAATCAAAAATTTCGACAAACTTTACTTGAATTCAGTTAAAAGTGATTTGTAATAAATTTGAAATTCGCGGTTAGCAACTGTTACCTAAGTTGGATAGTTGGCGGACAAAATTCAGTATGCACTAAAAAAATCTATACGTTCTTTTGTAACTAGTTCCCGGTAATAGATTGTTACCACCAAATTATTTAGAGTGCACTGAAGCGTCCGAATTTGGGAAGAATCTGACCATTTCTTCACACTTGTATGTACGCCATCGTTCCAATTTTTCTTGTTTTTTCTTTATCCAATAGAAAAGCCAGGGTAGCAAATGTGATTTCTTTGATCTGTTATTTCTTAGTGTGATGTGATCTGTGTGATTTATTACGCCATATACCATGTAGCCATCCATACATCCCTTATTTAGTTGTCCTTGTGTGTTACGTAATCACAATAAATCGTGTTAAAGAAGCCATAAATTAATGAAAGGAGTGACAAAAATCCCACAATTTATAAAATAAGATTTTCACGTAGGTCTATAATAAAATTTGTGAATTTCAGTCACACAAAGTATGAATTTCCTGATCAAATACATCAAATTATTGAAGTTCATAAATTCCAAATTTCGAAACCTGAGATTTCAAAATCTCCACATTCCTTAATAAACACATCGACCCGCACACGTACAGAAATTATGCTGACAAGACATACGTCTTCCTTCTGCACCAATAATGAGGTCCTGTACACTCCAAAAGTAACAAGTTTCTGAAGAAAAACTTTCCCAACTCTACGAATAAGTGACTTATTATTATTATGTCGTTGAAAAGGTGAAAGTCTATAAAAGAGAAAGTCGTCGTCGTCCTCGTCGAATGGGACAAAAAACTTTCCTCAACTTTCTTCTCACCAAGAAAGAAAGGCTTCCTTGTTACGACATATTCTGAAAAAAAGAGAGACATAAGGTTGCCGAGTGAAAAGGGCTGTAGCTCAATAAATAAATTGGGAAACGTGCCTCTCCTCAAAATAAGTGTATAAATAAGATTTTCCGATATTTATTCCTTTTTAATGAACCTAGTTATTGAATAGAGATCAATTTGTTGTATACGAGCTTTTAGGCGGAATTATTCCAAAAATAGGAGAATTTTATACAGATGCGCATTCCCGTTTCATGCAAACTTTATCTAAAGTTTAAAAATTGTTGACCTTTTTCATCTAAAAAAAATTATTGACGTTAAACTTGTTTAACAAAATTTCAAAAAAATTTATATGCTTATGTATTATAAATGTGAATACGTATAATATTGAAAACTTCTTTAGGTCATCTACATAATCCTTCTAAATCGTCATAATAATTGCATAATAATTTACTACCAATTGTGCAAATATATCTTATGGAATATCAAAAAAAATTGTTACTAAATTGTGCATACTTAAACTTTTGAATTATACATTATTGAAGATCATCTTGTTTATGGTTCCTGATTTTTTTGGAACTATGTAATTCGAAGTAATTCGAAATTTCGAAACTTCAACTTTACTCAAGTTTCACTATTTGATCATACTTACCTCTAAATTTGCGCACTTCTCCGTCTGTGCAAAACTATTTGAATAAACAGGGCACGTATTTCTACTCTTCCTCTCCCAATTTTATTTCAACAGTACACAAATAAATATGCAAATTACTATAATTGCACAAGATGACTGACTGAAATGACTGGCTGGCTGACGGACGGACTGTTTCGCTCCGTTGAGGATGGGGATACATTAACTTGATTAAATTCCAAATTCCTTCTCCCCACAAGCGATGAATTCAATTCACCACAAAATCAGGGTTCACAACGAGATAGATTTTTTGTTCGCCGTTCGCCGAGTGTGGAGGCATCTAATAAGCACAATCTTTAATGTTACAATGTATGTGTTTAAATTTCGTCGTAATAATCATACAATTATCCAGGAAAATTGAATGTTTTTTTACATTCGTTTCTTTCAGAACTTATTTTTTCATTTAAATACGTTTTTTATGAAAGATGATGCTGAGAACTCGGGATTTGCAACAAACTGAGCAAATTTTGTAAAATAATTTTACAAACTTTTATAATTTAGAGATCTGTGTTTTAGAAATATACACGAGACTTTGTAACCTGAATTTCACAGTAATCTTTGCAAATATGGCAATCCTACCCATTTTCAAAAACAAATAGGAATTGATTCCTCACAAAATCCTTCCAGAACAAAATATCTTTTCTGAGAACTGTATTGACTGTTCCAAATACGCAACCCTGTCTCCTTCCAAATTCAGACCGCAAGAGAAAGTAGGAGAAAATCATTCTCCGAATCCAAATCCTGGCCGAACTTAGCGAATTTAAATTCTACCTTGTTCTTCTCATCCTTTCCTTTCCTTCTATTTTTCTTCGGAATTGAATTTCCACTATTTCTTCCAACAGATTCACATCCTCGGCAGTTATCTAGTAATATTTATATTTGGCCGTCTCCCATCTATCCAAAATTCCTTATCACTCATCCAGTTGTGCCCAGTTATTTGGATTTATTCCCTGGCATGCCGGCCAGCCCGTGAAATTTCATGGCTTTTCTTTCCCAACTAAACAAATATGAATTTTCCTAACGAATAATATTTCCAAACGAATGAAATGAAATGTGAAATGAACAGATTTATTATTATACTTTGTGTTTGCTTTGATCTCTCACAAATTTCAGGATTTGATCTCCATTCGGAAACATTAGTTTTGGAAACATTCTCTCTCTCTCTGCTTCATGTTTATTCAAGCTTCAGCGTGCATATTGTACAATTTTCTGCTCAAAACCAGACTAATTTTGTGCTCCGGGGCTGATTTAATTATTATGCGATGCGACGACGTGAAGAAAACAAGGATTTCGATTTCTGCTATCTGCTAAATGGAGTCCCAATTTAATTTCCTTATTCCCGGTACGGAAAGCACTCTAAATTATTGCAGGATAAGATTTGATAACTTAATTTTTAAGAAAAGATGGAGAAATGCGTAATATTTTTTATTATGCGAATAAAAATTTGAAAACTAGATGGGGAACGAAATAAAATATGTAACTGTAAAAAAAATTACCTGAAGGCGATGAATTTATTTAAGGGAATGAGTGAATAAATTTTAATGCGAAATGAAAGCAGAAAATTTCCGAATTTTTTAAAATAAAATAAAAAAATTCCACATTTTTTCATTTCTCCAGCTTTTCAAAAATTTACGACTTGACCATCGTAAAAGTTACAGTGCTCATTCTCCGTTTTATTGCGCGTTACCTAATATTTGGAAAATTTGGAAATCAAACTAACCACAAAATCCCCCATGTAAATTTCTGAAATGTGCACACATGTTTTCTCTCCACCTTTGTAAATTATCCAGTAAGCTTTCTCCGAATCTGGGTGGATTTTCGTATCAACTTTTGTACATGAAACTCAATGTGATTTACATTTCTGTGAGATGATCGAATCAAAGCTTGCGAATCATGGACGTCATTGCGTCTCTCGCAGATACTTTGGTATTGTAATCCCATCATCTCCAGGGAGAGAGAATTACACGTGGAGAGGGAGATATGCGCTACGGATGGAGAAGATTACATAATTCTCACGGGTATTTGACTCTCTGGAAGATTGGATTTGCTTATGGGAACCAAACACGTTTCGAAATACATAAATTACGGCTATGCAGGGAAATTACCTGATTTTTTAAATGATTATTAGATATAATTACGCAGTTCTGGATTTTCTTTTGGCGTCGAAATTATACAGAAAAAAAAGTATTTAGAAAAATTTAGGAAAAATTTGCCAATAAAGATATAACCCTACTAGCACATTGCCAGTGCTGATTTTGTACCGATGTGCCCCATTTCTCGGTACGATTGTATACCGATTTCGTGCTGGTACAGGGAAATCGGTACCTTACCGGTGCAGTTTAGGAACAAATTTTGGGTACTGGGACTGTACCTGAAAAACTGTACAAAAATGGTATCGGTACTATGTGTACGGTTCCAATGTACCAAAAGTGTGCCGGTAAGGTACCGATTTCTCTGTACCTGCACGAAATCAGTATACAATCGGTACCGAGAAATGGGGCACATCGGCACAAAATCGGCACTGGCAATACGTACCGGAACCGCATAGGTTGTGCTGGTAGGGAAATATCTATTTAACGGAGGTGTAAAGATAAAATTATAAATTCTGACTATAAATTTGTAAATACTCTTATTTTATTTGCTGTAAAATCTCGCGGTAAAAAGGTTTCCACCTGCCCCATACAGTTCGCACCAAATTCCATTCAAAGCTTATGGCAACTTAAAACTTTAGACATAGGGTTTTGAATGGAAGTGGGTGCGAACTGTGTGGGCCAGGTGGAAACCTTTTTACCGCGAGATTTTATAGCCAAAAAAACAGGAGTACTTAGTTTTATGTACTGAACATTTTTAGAAATTTGAAGAATAAGTACATTGAATTAATTTGATATTTTTTTCTAATTTGTAGAGATGGAAGACTGGCGGAAGGCGACCAAATTTTGGCGATTGATGGGCAACCACTGGACTGTAAGTTGCAAATTTTGTAATATTTACATGATAAACTTGTAGATAAATTTCTAAATTCTCAAACTGCCCCTTTTTCCTTACTCTTATCCGACAAATAAATCTAATAAATCTTATTTCTGACTTTGCAGCAGCAATTACACACCAACAAGCGATTGGGATTCTACAGCAAGCCAGGTACCAGTTTTGGGTCAATATTTTGAAAAAGATTATAAATTGTCACTTTTATGAACTAAAAAATTGTGTCTTTTCTGTTAACAGGGGAGAAGTTGAGATCGTTGTAGCCAGAACTTCAGATTCACTCCTTACAACTGCTGACCCTCTTCTTCTTGGTGAGTTAGATAACCACTTATCTAATCAATATCAGACTCATTTATCTTGTTTTTTATTTATCCAGGAGATATCCTTGGGGCGGGACAGCAACCCCCCTTCTTGGGCGGGGAGCGTCCCTCCTCTCCTCCTCCCACTGACGACTCTACCAAAGGCACCGACATGGTGGTTAGTAAAATTTATGCAATTTATGTAAAAATGCACAGAAAGTTTCAAATTTTGCAAAAATTTTGATAAATGATGCACAATATATTCCGCCATCTTATCACATACACGTTATTCCAAATTTTTTCTTGAAATGCGCAATTTTAGTCTATATTTGCAAACTAATTTCCATTAGTTCCAAAAATTCTGACATTATTCTAAACAATTTTCACTATTCCACAAGAATCTTGCTAAAATTTGAAACTAATTTTCACAAAAAATTGCAATTATTTAATTTCCTGCATTTCGAAATTCCAATTAAAATCTTAACTCTTTTGTCCCCAGTTGAACACGGAATGGGCACAAGTCGAAGTAATCGAGCTAATCAATGACGGCACTGGCCTTGGTTTCGGAATTATCGGGGGCCGTTCGACCGGCGTCGTGGTGAAGACGATCCTTCCCGGAGGGGTGGCCGATCGCGATGGCCGACTCCAAAGTGGTGACCACATCCTCCAAATCGGTGAGGTCAACTTGCTCGGCATGGGGTCAGAACAGGTCGCCGCAGTCCTGCGACAATGCGGGTCCTGCGTCCGGCTCGTCGTCGCCCGCCCGATCGAACCCACGTCACCGGATGCGTTCACTTCATCCGCGCCGATCGTGCCGACACGAATTTTAGGTGATCCGGAAGAACTGGAGCGTCATCTTTTACAAGCGAACGGATATGGGAACCATTTGGAAGGAGGGTCCTTGGCGGGGTCGGAATCTGGCCAATTTAAGGGCACAATTGGAGACGATTTGCTCGGAATGGCGGCTTCCAGTACGTTCGACTCCTTGCCGGAAGTGGAATTGGTGGAAGTAGAGTTGAAAAAGGATTCACACGGGTTGGGCATAACTATCGCGGGTTACGTGTGCGAAAAAGGTGGGTGGATGGACGGAATTGATTTGTACTTTTTTTTCGTCTTACCGAGAGAGAAAGTTGTTGTTCTTGTTACATCCAATTTTCTGTGTATTCGGTTAAAGAAAGTGGGTGGATGTCGGATCCCCTTTATATTTTCGGGACTGACAGGTTAGTAGGGTTTCGTTAGGAAAATGTCTAGCGCCATAAAACAGTTGCAATACTCATTTTTGATCTTTCAAGTACAATTAATAAGAAACATATCAAAATAAACCTTTTTGACTTTTAATCTCTCCAAATTTCAAAAATTCATATTTTTAATTCTATCCAAATTTCAAAAATTCATATTTTTAATTCTATAAAAAATAGATAAACTTTGTTTTTAGTATAGAATGAGTGTTTTTTCTGCTTCTTTCAACGATTTTCGTGTATGATGGCTTAAAATTTGTGAAATTTTGTGTGCATAAAGATTCTGAAATAATATTGGTGTTTTTTTGTTCAAGATAAAAGCCAAAACGTGCGATTTTTTTTTGCTAATTTTGAGAAATTCTATTTTTTCCTCTAACCGTACGATATTTATATTTCATGTCATTTTCCTCTTCATTGGGAGAAAGCATGCAAAATTTCACCCACTTTCTACCATTTATTTCACTTCCTCCGTGTAGAACACTGGTTGAAAGGAAAAGTTTTTTCCCTGAGAAAAAGAAGACAAACAAATTTGGAGAGAAAGAAGGAAAAGAAAAGTCTATTTGTTCATTGGATTGGATTCGATCTTCTTTTTAACTCTTTTTAACTCCAGTAGCTCATTCGACTCATCTCTTCCAGTTAGACGACTAACTAAGCTAATCGAAACGCTCTTTTTTGCTTTCTCCCCGGCCGGAGAAAGTTGCAGAAAGTTTGATATAATATGCAAATCAAGGAAAGTACGCCAGACGAGGAGAGATTGTTTGTTTGCGAACGAGTCAAAGTTGTTAAAGGGAAAGTTAGGATTGGGAAATTTTCGATCAAAAAACGTCAATTTTTGTTATTATTTCCTCAAATTAAATCATGCATATTTTTTAAATATAAAGAAAAGTGAATGAATAATTCATCTAAATTTGAATTTATTTTTTTGTGTACTAAAAGTATTTATATTTTTGTTCAATTTTTTAGAAGAACTTTCGGGAATATTTGTCAAAAGTATTAGCGAAGGAAGTGCGGCTGATGTGTCGGGAAAGATTTCAATTAATGATCGCATCGTTGAGGTAAGAAAAATGAAATAATTTTGAAAAATTGTAAAAAATTGTAAAAAAATTTGGTATAAAAAAAATCTACAAAATTTCGGTACCAAAAATCCTGTTTTCCAGAATTCCACAAATTCTAATGCATAAGTTTCCATTTTCCCGTATAAAATACACTGAAATTTAATTTTTAAATAATCTTCCAAATTTCGGTATAAAATTTTTTTTCAAAATTTCAGCACCAAAAAAGCCTTTTTACAGAATTTCTCAAATACAATGCATAAGTTTCGCGTATAAAATACACTGGATTATATTTAATCCTAAAACCCAATTATCATTTCCAAGCACAATTACACAACTTCTTTTTTGTTCTTTTCTTCTCACTTGGACCGAGAAAAACCATCACTTTCACTCCAAGTCGATCCAGCTCCTTAAAAAAGTATGGGGAAAAAGTAGTCCAGTAAAAAAAACAATGGGAAGAAGGAAAAGAATGGAAAAAATACGGCCAAATCAAACACAATTCTAATCCAAATAAGAGAAAAGAACGAGAATAAAAAAATCTGTCCTTTCTCCTTTATTTTGCTCGGTCTTGAGGTCTTGTTCTTGTTTGTTTTCTGCTTTTTTTGGGGGGAAAGAAATGCAGCATTAAAGAGCACATTGAATGATAGTCGTGCATAAAGGATGGCACGTATTTTTTATGGATGGTAATTAATGGTGGTCTTAAATGACTGGAACTAATGGTCTTAAAAACTATGGTATACGTGACTGAATGCATGCATACCTTAAATGTCAAAACAAATAACAAATGAATGAATTAACTGCTTTAATTTTCCCATCGGGAAATCCGCTCATTTCTAAGAAAAATTTGTCCGACTAGAATATTTTACTGAAATTTCAGCTTTGTAGTATTTGGAAAATTCAAAGATTTAACTTGTTAAGAACCATAATTTTCCAATTTACCAGCAGTTTACATTCCCGATTTCCTCAAGGCATCGGTTTTAGTCATTTCAGGTGGCCACTAATACTTATCTTTTTTTATTATTAATTATGATAACTACTTAATCGATACCAAGTTACTTATTTTAATCATCCCGGAAACCAATTTCAAATTTACACCACATTCTTTATGCAAGGTCCTTCACAGTAAAGCTACTCGAGCAGAAGAGAAAGAGAAGAAAAAACGCTAAACCAACAAGGATCAGAGGGAAAGTAGACAAAGAAAGTGTTTCGAATTGTCGTAAATTCTCTTAATTGTCTCGAAACAAAGGAACAAAATAAAGGGGAAAAATCCTTCGTTTTTTTAGCTTAACTTATCTTCGACGTCGACAACTCTTAAAATGTGACGTGCTACAAGGCCATACCGATTTTCCACGGAGCGTAACAATAATTTCCGCTACAACGATAACTTATCGTTACTCGTATAGTAACTTACTTAGGGACTTTGGAACGTATTCCTAAATGCGGCAAATACACGGTTTGATTATTGTTATCGTCCGGTGACAAACGTGGTATCCATCCACGCAAAGTGATATTTAATGTACCAGCACCAACTTCTTACCCATGTAAATTACGAACATTGCCAGTTCCAGTAGATAACAAAGACAATTGTATTTCATGTTCGGTGGCAAATCTGTACAGCTTAATGATAACATTAAATTATTGTTATTTACGTATCCACTAAACTTCCAAGAAGCTATCTAACATGCTATCATGCAATATTTTATATAAAAATTTTCAAATTTTCCCAGGTCGACGGCCAATCTCTGCAAGGTTTCACGAATCACCAAGCGGTCGAAGTACTCCGAAAAACCGGTCCCGTCGTCATCCTCAAGTTGGAAAGGTATCATCACGGCTCGAAATATGAACAGGTGCGTCAACTTGAAATCGTATTTATTTTAAAATTTTTTGCAAGCACCCTTTAAAATTTCTTAACCCTGGATTTTATTTCGAAAATTATTTATTTACGTAATCACCACCTCGCTTTAATTCTGTAATGCGTGATATGATTGATTGTGCCGTGATTGTGATTGTACTTTTTTGCCATAAAATACTCGCTTTTCTTACAAAAATTACTTTAAGAAATCCGCTGTACCTAATTTCATATAAATTTTATTTAAACATTTGCCAAATTTTATTTTCGTCATTGTGCTTTAACACAAGTACTTTAGTTTTAATTTACACTAACTCTTTTATTTCCACTTGATCTCACTTCTTAACCACTTTTAGCTCAGCATTTTATACCATTTGCGATGTTTCGTCCAGTACATAAAAATTGTAGTTAAAATTTATTTAATTTTTGTGAAAAGTCATTTTTTATTTTTGTTGTTCTCTGTTAAAATTTGATTATTGTCCTTGTCCGATTTCCAAAATTTTAATTTTCAAAAAGGCAAAATGTAAACTACATTCCTGTATTTGTTCTTTGTACTGTTTGATAAAAAATAGTTACAATCGGCGATAAGTCACTCGGAGCACAAGCCACCAACACCTTCATCCGTCTCGGCTTTGTCTTTACCTCAAGTTCCGGTCGACTCTGTACGTAAACTTGTAACTTTCACCCACTTTCACTCACTTTCACTCTCACCCCACCAATTAATTAGTCGATACTAATTAAACTTACTAATCAACTAACTAACTATCCACTTTTCTTTTCTTTATTTTACTTTATTCACTCACGTTCCTTTTAATAATCTAATCCACCTATGAATTTTAATTTTCTGGGTAATTTGTTAATTAAAGTTAATTAAATACTATTGACTATGATTGGTAAGTTGATTGTGGTAGTAAAAAAAAGTGCACTTGAGACGTGCATCGTTTTTTCTCTTAAATTACTCACCCTAAATTTCATTTTATTTGAATTCTTGTGATAAAATATTGGTAGCTTTCCAAAGCTATTTTTATTACACCGTTAATTTGAAAGAATGAAAACACAAGGATATTTGTTATGTACCTGTGTCTTACTTACATAATAATATGTATGGAAATTTATTTTTTGTGGAAGTTAAATCATACAAATCGACGGAAAATTCAATGATATTTCTAAAAATTCAACTAGATTTAATTCTAATTTAATTATTTGGTTCGTCACCTTCCTTGCAACGTTACTCATTTTTCCTGATTACTAAAAAAAATTACAGATTTTCTTTAGCAGATACTTTTATATTAAAAAGACAATAATCAATACTCAAATTTGCGTAATTCTCAAATCATACTTTTTTCTACGCGATTAAGAAACATGTAAATGACTAGTATTTCGAATTGACATAATTATAGTATTATTAATCTCAAAGAGAAGATCTATTTTATGGTTCTGTAAAAATTATTTGCGAGTTCAATGAAAATTTACCTAAATTAATTCATAGAAGAACTATTTGCATCCAAAAATTTGGGTGGCGTCAAGCCAATACATTTTTTCACTTGAATAGAAACCCCTTACATATTTTTTGTTGGGTTAATTTCCAACTAAATTTTAAATTTGACCCCAATTTCAGGACGGCGAGGGCGAAGACATTCTCGCCTCTGGTGGTGGAATTGGTGAAGAGGACGAAGACGACGAGGAGGAGGATGACGAAGAAGATGACGACTTAATGGGAAGTGGAGGGCCATCTGGGATAAATAATGATAAGAGAAATGTCGACATGGATCTGGAAGATCTGGAAATGTTGATTGACACCAAGTAAGTCCGTACAAATTTATGTCACATTTTGTAACTGTATAAATTTTTCATAATTTACTCTGGGTAAAAATTAAATTTAGAGAAATACATCGTGTTATAAAATTTTCTTACAAAAACTTGATATGGGTCAGATACCTTTATAAACCAAGCAAAATTTGTAAAGTTTTGCAAAATTTCGTAAGCTTTCGTACAAAGTTTACAATTTTGAGTACAAACATTTTACCCAAAATTACTTTGTGAAATTGCAAAATTTCTAACTTGGGTCTTCAATGTTTCTTATTTATGCAGTTTATGAAGCTTTACTTTTCCTTAGCGTGTAACAGCCACCTAATAACCCTCATTTTTTAGGTACGATGGCGAAATCTACCCAACCGTTGAAGCTGCAGTGATAGCGAAGTGGTCTAAAATTGTGGGCCCCACCGCAGAAATTGTTGTATCGCAGTTATCAAAGGCAAAAGAAGGCGGAGGTCTTGGGATCTCTCTCGAGGGTACCGTAGACGTCGAAGATGGCCGCGAGGTCCGACCTCATCATTATATTAGGTGACCGTTTTCATTGAAATTTCATTGAAATTGTAAATAATTTGTATAACCGAAGCGCTTAGCGTTACCCGGGAGTTGGGTGGCGAACCTCGTTTGAGGAAAATTGAACTATTACCGCCGGACCCGGCTTCAGTTGACTCCCAAAAATTATGGTGGCCTTCAAAAAGGCCGTTGGTTTTGGTATTGTTTTTGAAACCACCCCTACCAAAGAAAGGTGATCGGACTACATTGCGTTTGAAACATTCACCCCTGTAGACGAAAGTGGTCGGCCCACGCGGTGAACAAAGTAGTGTAAAAAAGTAAAATTGTAAATAAAATTGGAGATTAAACAAAGACGTCAAATTAAAAAAATTAGTAGTTCTGCTAGGGTAAAAGCCTGGAAACACAATATGATATAATTAGTACAAAAATTTGTGTTAAAATTTATTTGTTTTACATTTAATCCTCAGACTCGTCACTTGAGTCTCGTCCGTCATCCTCCTCTTCTTGAGCAGCAATCCAGGCTCCATCTTTCAATGTGTCCAACACAAGTTTAGTTAGCCGTTCATAATTCTCCAATGTCATATCGATGGGTTGCTGCGCAATGTATTGTTGGAACTGAGGATAAATGGATGATAATTTCGTCTTTAAATGTATAAAAGGGTTACGGTATCATGTATTATAAATACCTTTCGATTTCCTTGCCAAAATCCCATCATATTCATTCCAAATAGAGTCACAGGGGGCAGACCATTTAAGTGATCAATTATGGAGTTATTTATATCGTCCATCTCTCTCTGTGTCAAAGGATTCCTACTGGTACGGTGAAAAGTGCATATGGCTCCTAGCTGTTCTCTAGCATATGCCTTTCTCGAAAATTTGTTATTTGCTGGGCCAACGTGAAGGCAAAAAGCGTTAGTAGTGTCGGCAACAAATCCGGCATTCTTCAAATGTCTATAAAATATGCAAGGATAAATTACTAAGTTTTGGTAATATGTTAATAATATCTACCGGTCGGTGCATTGCAGAGTAATGATATGGTTTTGGGCGGCTTCAAACGGGTCAAGCAATATTGTATACCCGCCATACACGCCGACATATTCATACTCTGGAGATAGCAAATCCATTATCCAAACCATAGATTCTCCAATTTCACGAATACCAATACCGCTGTAACAATTAATATCATAATGCTCTTTCAATTTAATGTTAAAAGTTATTACGAGTTCGCATCGTTAGCAACAAAATAAACTTCACAAGTTTGAAAAAAGTTTTGACTTGTATTTAGTTCGCCTATACATTTTTCGCAATTTTGGTGCGACATTAACTTGCGAACTCGTAATGAATACCTTCAATATGTTATTTATCTATATATAATTACCAGGCTCGGGCACACCCTGTACAGAAATCATATAATTCCTGAAGTCTGGTGCAATTTTCCTGGGCGCACAAACGGAGCCATCTGTTGCATCCTTTAGGATCGATATGGTAAAACCGATAGTTGAACATTGTTTGCGGGTCAGTATAAATATCACCGCGACGTGGGTTTCGAGGAAAAGAAGGTCGTTTGCTACAAATTACCGAAATATGTTATATGAATAAAATATCTAGGAATTGGAATAACATAACAAAGTACCTTCCTGTTCTGCATTCTAAATAAACGTCACCATGATTTGAAACCCTAATTTGACACGTGGGGCTTACGCATAGAGGTTTCCAATTACTTCCGTCCCATCGATATTTTAACTTCGTTAAAGGATCAACATAAATATCGTGATGACGAGGGTTTTGTGGGAAAATCATCAGTCTTCTGTAAACAAAAATTTACAGCATAATATATGTACTCGAATATATGATAATATAATATAACTGTATACCTCCCTTGCTTGCATTGAAAGCAAGTGTCTCCGTGAATGGCAACCCAGGTCCCACAATGTTGGGTGCAACATGCGCGTATCCATTTTTTACCGTTCCATCGATATTTAAATCCAGTCTGCGCGTCGTTGGCAAAATCACCATAGCAAGGGTTTCGAGGTAAAACTGCCCATTTTCTGGAAATCCATGAATTATGGAATATAATAAAAGGAATATGGACTCAAAATGTAGCTAAATAATGTACCTTCCGTGTTTACACTCGAAACAAATGTCACCATGTTTGTCGACTCTAGCGTCACATGTAGTACATGCGGGTTTCCATCTTTTGTCATACCGTTTATATCTGAGCCCAGTATGCGTGTCGATAAAAATTTCGCCGTCACAAGGATTTAGAGGGAAAACAGGCCTTTTTGGGGATATAACAAATACATAATATGTATTTGTTATATCTGCTACATATTATGTAGCAGATTATGCGATATTATTATATAATTACGTAATAATTAAATTACACACCTCCCTGCCTTGCAATTTGAGCAAAGGTCACCATGATTGCGAACCACAGTTTCGCAAGTAGGAGTGGAACATACCGCCTGCCATCTATCCGTGCCGTTCCAACGGTATTTATATCCGGTTTTCTTATCGGAAAAAATAGTACCACGGGTTGGGTTAGAAGGGAAGTCCGGCAGCTTACTGTTGAATTTCCGGTATATTTAATAGAGTTTATCAAATTTATTATATAACTTTATTTGCTGCGCTTTACCTCGAGATTCTTGTAAATAAGGGCAAATCAACAACTAATCTACATACCTTCTTTTATTGCACCCGACGCAAATATCGCCAAGATTCTTAACCTTCGCCGTGCAACCCAGAGTACAGCAAACGGCTCTCCATCTACCAGAGACCCAGCGGTGACTGAACCCTGTTTGGGTGTCAATAATCTCTGGACCTTGTACTCTATATCAATATATATTTAATACTTTACAAGTAGATTTTTAACTATGACACTTTAAATATATTCAACGCTTACAATTGGAACAATCTTTGGTGTTTTTGTCGGAGTTTCACGATGAACCTCGATATTAACCCGCTTCATGGGCTGACTAAGCCCTGATGAAGTCGACGTTGTAACTGGAACGGTTCTGTTGTTATAAAAAATTTGAACAATATTATGATTTTTAATTCGATCACACTAAAGTATAATAATTGGTGATTATTTACGGAAGAGCTGAAATGTAGTAACTCCCTTCTGGCAATTCCACTCCGTTGGTTCGTTGATTACGAAGACTGGTTTCCAATTCTAAAATTTTCATTTGCAAAGGTTCGACATCCTTGTGAGTTGCTCTGGCTTGCCCTAATTCCCTCAAAATCCTGTCACGGTGAGCCACATCTTGTCTATATCTACTTCTTCGATGGAGAAGCAGCAGGATATTTTGAATGGTCTGAGGATTGTTATCTTGGTTAGCCAATAGCTGAACTCCATTTAAATCGTTCTGCATCAGAACGTTAGCAATTCGTGGCCTCGCATTTGAAATTGTTGATGGATCCACGTTAAAAACGTTGCCGTTTTGTGCACCCAGTATTCGCCTGAGAAATTCCAGCGCAAAATCCCCACATGAAAATCCGTTCTGTTGTTGGGGCAGATTAGCATCAGGCTGGTGAAGTGTCCATTCTTGGATTGGAATTTGGTATCGATAAGAGAACATTCTAGCCAGATCGTTTTGGAAGGTCCTAATTTCATCTAACGGGATGGTCCCTCTTAGACTGTCGGCAACATCCATTCGTCTCTGCTCAAAGTCGATGTGGTGAAGAATCCAATGCCGGTTATGGTGTTGAATAGTGAACATTCTTCCATTTTCAGTGTTAAAAATCACTGGAAGAGCATCCATGTTTTGCAAGTGGTGAAAGAGTGGAATTGCTTCAATTGGGATGAAGAAATCACCATCTTCACGGCCTCTGATCCTAAGAATATGCTGACCAGCAGCGTTCAATACTGCATCCGTCAGATATTCGCCATGGAAAAGTGATGCCAAGTCTTCTTCATTTCCACCTTGAAACACTCGATTAAAAATTAAGGCCTGACGGGTGGCCGGGTCGATCATAGCCCATTCAGTCATGGGAGGGCCTGTAATATAAATGATTTTTAAAGACGTTACATGATGTTTGGATTTGATTTAACTATTTAAAAATACCGTTAAGCATTGCATTATTGGGAGGAATTGGTTCCCGTCCGCGCTCGTTGTCCCGGCTATTTCCCCTGCAATCACTCATTTCCTAATTGAAAGTAAATATCAGAAAACCTGCCCTGACCATAACCAAAGCTTTTGCAGAAAGACATTCGAAAAGACATTCAATGATATTCTGCTTACTCTTTCATGCCAGAGTGAGAATTTTACAGACAAGTATTGCTCAAAATATACTTTTTAAACATGGAATTTGAAAATATTCCTATATAAATTTGGACAATTTACGGACAAGATATCTGCTGAGGCTTCCTGCCAATTGCGAAAATTCAAATCATACGAGGATATAAAAAATAATTACCACTGCAAATTGTCCAATTACCAAAATCATTCACACATATCTACTGTGGGGCGCATGCGATTTGAAAGAAATGATTAAAATCTACATCAAACGTTATTAAAATGCTGCAACCTTAAAGGAACGACTGCTATAGGGTGGTTAAGAAGTATCCGGAATTTTTTTATGGGCATATATCTAAGGGATATCAGTTTACCCGAAATTTGAAATGTCGTGTAGCACATGCATCCTTCGACTAAAATTCGAAAACCGAAAAGTCGATATGTCTTACCGTTCCAAAATGAGGTCAAAAACCTTGGAGCAAAAGCTGTCCGCCACTACCACGAAAAAATGTTTACGCGCTCCAAGAGATTTAGGTGTAATGAATTTAAAAATCAACTAATTCAAAAATCAAAAATTTTTCATATACTACTGAGGTATGAGCTAGAAAAACTGCTAATCACAAAAAAATATCCGATGATGGGGGTACTTTCAACTTATTTCATTTATATCACTTGACCTACGATTAATTTTTCATTTGGTGTGCAAAGTTTCAAATTTTTAAGAAATTATGCCAAATTTTATGCCAAAGATAGCATCTCGTTTGAGCATATCTCGGACAATACGTAGGACAAAAAATATACTTACGAAATTAATCAGATAAAAAGTTCATCAATTAAACAGCTTTCTTCCGGAAAAACATAATGAAATCAGAGGTCCACACCTCTAGGTGAAGTGAAAATTTGGGATAACTTTTGTGAAGAAAGGGACGTACCGTGAAGCCCCCAATAGTAGTCCCCTCGACAATAGTAGTCACGAAAAAGACGGATTTTGACGGAAAAAACGTCTGACATTGGTCTCCAGTTAAAAGTGAGACCAATGTTAAAGTTAAAAATTTGAAATTTTACATACAAAAGGAAAAATTAATCACACGTCAGCTGATATAAATGAAATAAGTTAAAAGTGTCCCCATCATCCGTACAGGACGGGGGGCCTTGACCCTCTGTAATAAAAAGAATACTAGTAAATAATACAAATAAAATTAAGGATTACACACCTGGTTAGTGTCGGATCTAGTTGTTATTCGATAATGGAGGTAAATATACATACTCGGACCAGGATTCCCCGTACAAGAGTTTGCGCTTTGAATTCTGGCGCCAAACTTTGCAGAGGTCAGTTTTGTTCATTAACGCTGATAGCCCATATTGTGCTTAATAACATACTACAAAAGTTTTCAAAAATATGAAGAATTGTATCAAATGGCGAGCAAATTCACAAAGACGTCTGGAATTTTTCTGTCATATCTCCGTGAAACAAAAAATATGTGAGATTTTATAATTCTGAAAAACTCTGGAGAAAAATGACAGACGGTTAACGACATTACAAAACGTTACAACAATACTAGTGGTACTGATGACCAGAAGAGATCTGGTCGACTTCGTGCTATTCGGACACCAGCCACGGTGAAAGCATTGAAAGTCCGAATTAGGCGAAATCCTCATTTTCATCACAAGAAGTTGGTTCTGCAAATGAGTGTGTCCAAATCATCCATCAAGAGGGCACTAAGGGATGACCTAAGGGTTAAGACTATGCGAGGGGACACTTCTCATATGATCATTAACAAGAAAAAGAAGAATATAGCCAATTGAAGCAAAGTGCTTCGTACACGGTACGCGAGTAAAACCTACCGAGTTTCCTCTTCAGGAAAGAGAAGATTTTGACTGTTGGAGAAAAATTAAAAAGACGAAATGCCCGGATAATTGCTCTACGGATGTCTGGCATTCACTTAGGTATGCGGTAGTGAATAAGAAGTCATCACCATGATGTGAATGGGAGAAAGTTGCTGGAGAAAGCAAATCTCTGTTTTTTTACCTCAAGGAGTAATATTTCGAGCCAAGAATTATTTTCAGAGTGTCATTGAGCCAACGGTTAAGAACCTGAACCATGAACTCTTCGAAAACCAACATATGACCTTTCAAGCAGACTCTGCTCCTGCGCATGGTGCAAAGTTGTCCAAAACTGGTTTCGGAGGAATTTTCATGGCTTTATTTCATCCCAAGAACGGTTCTCAGCATCTGCAGACCTAAATCCCATAAATTATGACTGGTACGCAAAATTATAGATACAAGTATGTTTAGGGTGACCATCCGTCCCGGTTTAGCCGGGACATGTCCCGCTTTTCAAACCCTGTCCCGGCGTCCCGAAAATGTCCCGGTTTTGATAAAGTGTCCCGGTTTTTTAAATCGTCGAGAAAAATTAAATTATTTCACTTTTTCGCCAAAATATTGCTGAAAAAGTAGATTTTAGTACATAAATACCAGTAACATACATGCAATATTTACTTAATTTTCTCTCCTGGCTCATTCTCAAAATTCGGTGATATCTGAATCGCCAAGCACTAGATATTATGGAAAAAATTTTTGGCCAAAAAATGTCCCGGTTTTAGTCAGGACAAATATGGTCACCCTAAGTATGTTCTAAATCTTGCATAAGTGTGAAAGGCCTGAGGTCACACTTACTGAAGATATGGTCACTTTTTTCATGAAAACCGTGCGTGCCGCGATCTACCAGTTTTTGTCACTACTTATGTCCTCTGAATTAGCCCGTGAAGGAAATTTTGAAAAAGAAGATATGATTTCCAAACAATATTAAGACCTTGTTCATTCATAAAAATTTCGAATAAATATCTGTAATATTTTGTGATATATCACCACAAACTCTTGTACGGGCAATCCTGGTCCGACTATGTAGAAGCACAGGTAAAGTAGACATGTAATAAAAACTTCTCAATTAATAGCTTAACGCAATAATACTTAAGGTTTATAATCACAAAGAGAGTGAGAACACGGAGCAATAAACCAAATCAGATTTTGGATAAAGAATAGCCACTTGGTGTGTGTGTATCTGCGTTTTTTTTACTCCCCCGCGCCACAAGGGGAAGTTGAGACTTGTGTACGGGCGATTTATAAAGGTGGCTCGCAAATGCGGGCTACACTACTCGTAGAGTAGAATACATCAGGCCACTTCCATGCAGTCAATGCTAAAAAGTCGAAATGTTTTTCCGGTCTAAATACAAAATACTTTGATCAAATGTCGTGATCCCAGATACAAGATATTTATTTCAAATACTTTTTTGAAGATACAAGATACTTTATTCTGAGATTGCAATGAAACATGCAATAGCTACTGTTCAGCCAATATTAATAGCCTGAAAAAAATCTAAGAGGTTTGCTGGTAGAATTTCATAGTATTTTCAAAAACCATATAACCTCGTAGAAAAATTTCCAACGAATTGGGACTATTAATATCGGCTGAATAGTAGGCGTCACTTTTTATGGTCGTAAAATTATTTATTAATAATAAAAATTGAATGGTGGCCTTCAAAAAGGTTGTTGTTTTTGGAACCACCCCTTACATTTACTTTAACCTTGACCCTTGTAACATTTTTTGTGAGAACGGTTTTCATTTTAATTTCTATCCTACAGATCCATCCTTCAAGACGGTCCGGTCGGACGTGCTGGAAAACTGCTAGGTGGCGACGAACTCTTAGAAGTCAACGGGCGTCGTCTCCTCGGACTCAATCATGTCGAAGTTGTCTCCATTTTGAAAGATTTGCCCATTTCGGTCCGAATTGTATGTGCTCGAAGACCTGGCGCGCCCCCGCCGGGGAGACCGATCGACACGGCGCAGGATAGAAACGCGTTTGCAGCAAGAGTAAGAAAAATCAGGAAAATTTACTAATAAAAATCTGGAAATTAAACTGCAACTTTATTTTGCAGAACATTTTGGGCGGCTCACTCCAAAACCTGTTTCAAGGAAATGACCGCCTCGTCAAAGCCAAATCGGACGGTTCGCTCGCCTCCACCGGAACCACTGGTGCTGGCACGGGTGGCACCGGACCGGGAGAAACGCCGGGTGGAAGTAGTCTTTCAAAACTCAAGTCCCGGAGTCTCGAACCTTTGACGGGTTTGGCCATGTGGTCCTCCATCCCCACTGTGATCGAATTACCCAAAGGCGACAGAGGCCTGGGCTTCTCTATCCTCGACTATCAAGACCCCATGAACCCGAATGAGACGCTCATCGTGATCCGATCCCTCGTCCCAGGCGGGGTCGCTCAACAAGACGGTCGCCTCATCCCGGGCGACAGATTACTCGCCGTTAATTCGACCAATCTAGAAAACGCGACGCTAGACCAAGCCGTGCAAGCGCTGAAAGGCGCGCCACGCGGTATGGTACGAATCGCGGTGGCGAAACCGCTCCCACTTCCGGATTCGATGACGACAATTTCATCTACGCAGAGTCAGGTAGATAGCTCAATTTCGTGCTTAAATAAAATTTTTGAAAATTTCTACATTTTTTATATCCATTTTTTTCAGGACGTTTCGCCACCTCCGCTTCCAATAAGTCCTCCGCCACCCGGATTCGGACCAGATTTACTGCTCTCGTCGGCCCTTTCGTCACCGAGAACGCCTGTCCTTCTAGACAGTGCTGACCACACGATTGACACGTACATCCCACCCGGCGTGCCGCCACCTCCGCCGAGAAATATGAACGAGATTGACATGTCGAATGAGAATGAAGTAAAAATTCTGAAAATTTTTGGCCTTCCTTCCCCATCTTTTGAAGATGAGTGCTGACGATGATGATGATGATGACACGCACGCAAAAAAAATATGCAAAATATTGGCTGCCTATATACCTTTACCGCTTTTCGTTTCACTATACTTTCACTACTTTACTTTTGTTCCTGCGCAAATTTATTTATTACTTATTTTGGTCACTTTTGTTTTTTCTTTATCGGGGATAAAAATACATTAAATTGCATGATTATCTGTCTGTGGTCTGATTTATGCATTATTTTTTCCTCCTCATTTCACACATTTCTTGCCTCGGAGTGCATGAAAATTTGGCACATTTTCTGAAAATCAAGAGAAAATGAGTACTGGGTTGAAGAAGTTCTGCAATTTTAGTTTCTCGTTTGTATTTATTTATTTTTGCATGTAAACGACATCAATTAACACACTAATTTATTTGATTTTGCTTACTAACGACGTGTAACCAAATTATTAACAGTTACTGACAACTGATTAATAAAAACGAATATGCATGCTGAACACATTTTCTATTTATGATTTTTTTCACCATTTTTTCCCAAAAACCTAAACACTAACCTGTAATTATTTATGAGTTTTCGTCATCTCAGATTGTCACTCGTCCACACTTAAAAATACTTAAATTGCTTAAAAAATTCGTCATCATGTCACCATGTCATTTCCGGTTCAGGTAACTCCAATAATTCCCATCTCGGCGACTGAACGTCTCATCACGTGTTCCGCTCCGACGTATGGACGCCCCTCAGCCTCAGTGTCCGTCTTCTCGGCGGGTGACCATCACACGTCGACGTCGACCCTACCGACGCATCAACCTTACGATGGCGTGTCGGTGGGTCGAGGATCAACTTCTGGTTCACCCGCCGCCCTCCCCGTCGCGTTGGAACGGACGACGAAAATCAAGAAGGCGGAGGAACCCTTGGGGATAAATGTGGAGTTGGTGGATGACGGCGTCAATGGGGTGATGGTGACCTCTGTCGCGGTCGGGGGACCGTTCCACCGAGACGGGCGGATTCAAGCGGGTGACTACTTGGTCACGGTGAATAATGAGGGATTAAGAAACGTGACGAATGCTCAGGCCAGAGCGATACTCAGGAGGGCGCAGTTATTTTCGAAAGATTTGAGGTGAGAGGATTTTAATTGTGATTCAAATTTCTGGTTTAAATGTGCCAGATATTAATTTTTTAAATGTGAGAGTGCCAAATTTCTGGTAGAATTTTTCGTGTAGAGGAATCTCATTTTTATTTAAACCAAATTACATAAGCCACTTTAGATGAAGAGAAATAGTAGAAAATTTGCGTTATAATTAAATGTCAAGTTTTTTATTATCATGAATTTATGTGTATGTATCACACGTTTAGGGGTGCCAGACGGTTCATAGCATGAAATTCGTAGCAGACACAATTCATAGCAAAAATACAATTCGTAGCATGCTACAACTCGAAGCACATAGTTTTCGTAGCTATTATATCTGATAGCTTAATACGATTCATAGCAGTACAATTCATAGTCTTTTTTGTCACCTAAAATTAAAAATCACCACCTTCAACATAAGATTTTGTACGACGATTGCTTGACTTTTAGTGCCTAGTTACCCTTAACGGTTGCGACAAATGGTCGAGTTACAAATAAAATAATTATTTTTAAAATAGTTGGTGTAAAAGTCCCTTACAAATACACCAACTACTTTGACCTTTAATAACTTTTGAACGGACAGACATAGAGACTTAATTCTTAAAGATGAAATCATCGTAATTTTTAGCTTGATTTTTTAAGCTAAAAATCTCGAGGGTACCATTTCGAAGATTGAACTTGAAATCTCCAGTGTGCAGCCTTTACGAGCCCGAGTCAAGCTCGCTGTTATCGGTCAAACCGACCATTTTGCATAGAATTTTACTGTACCAAATGTATTTTACTAATGCACTTTACGCCAGTTTTTGTCAAATATACAATTTGTATTATGCACGTGCATACATAGTATGCAATGCATACTATGCATTGGTGAAAAATTTAACTAAATTTAGGGTTTTAGCCCGAATCAGGGCTTATGTACCCGTTATGTCCGTCTGTCCGTCTTGCGTCTTGTTATCTCGTAAAACTAATCGTAACAAACAATATGAATTAAAATAGGAAAATTTTCCGAGTTTATTAAGTTCGTGTTTTGTAATGGTTTGTATACCAAAAATAAATCACAAAATTATATGCACATCGTTCATTACGAGTCCTGCTCTCAGAATAATGCCATCTTAAAAGGCTCCGCAAAATTGTTGTCTTTTTCGCCTAAATCAGTTATCATGTCCTTCCGGAACACGATAGCCAAAATGGCTGAACCGATTGAGCTGAAATTTTCAGAACGGGTGAGACCGTAGGGTTTGATCCATACAGATTTTTCAAAAATATGCCACTCCACAAGTTTAAATGCTTTTGGTACATTACAATTTCATGGAAAATGGTTGGTTTGACCGACAACCACAGAGTCTGACTCGGGCTCACTGGAGATTTCAAGTTTAATTTTCGAAATGGTACCCTCGAGATTTTTAGCTTAAAAAATCAATCAAAAAATTACGATGATTTCATCTTTAAGAATTAAGTCTCTATGTCTGCCCGTTCAAAAGTTCTTAAAGGTCAAAGTAGTTGGAGACTCAAACGCCCTTTTTGAACCAACGATTTTAAAATGAATTTTTTATTTGTAACTCGACCATTTGTCGCAACCGTTAAGGGAGAAGCGTTACCTAGATACTTAAGGTCAAGCAATCGTGATTTTGTACACTGTAAATAAAGTTGAGTAAAATTGCCACCAAAGCAACTATTGAGTAAAATTTACACTGAGAAAGGTAAAATTTACTCAAGGTTGAAAGATTTTTGCTCAACCTTGAGTAAATTTTACCTTTGTCAGGGTAAATTTTACTCAATATTAGCTTTGGTGGCAATTTTACTAAAAATTGAGTAAATTTTAATCAAATTTATTTAGAGTGTACGTTCTGGATCCCAAATCTTACACAACTCCCAGAGTATGCTTTGAGCAATTTAGTCTCAATCAATCGCAAATTTAATTATGAAATGTATGAAATTTGTTAAGTATGAAATTTGTAAAAAACACTATCTCCCAATGGCCACGTTTGGCAGAGATATTTGCATTCAAGGAGGAGTAAAAGCGTGTCTTATTTATGCACGAGATAGTCCATCCATGGATCATTGATGGGTTCGTCTAAAAATGGACCAAGTAGAGATTTATTTGAACTTATTGTGAGCTATTTTTCGAATATTCAGCACTAAACCCATAACTCACACCGGTGTAATATGACCCGGTCTAAATATTTGTAAAAAATTTCAAGTGAATAAGTTGAGTTTAACGAAGATTATGTTGGCTATGGGCAGATGGACAAACGGATAAAGCAGATGCATAACCTTTGACTCGGGTCAAAATTTCTTTGCTTAGTCAGTTGATAAAATTTCGTTTTTGGTTTCTCGCTATGTATTGCTACGTAGCGATATAAATATGTATTGTACGTGCTACGAAAAGATGCGCTATGTGTGGATACTACTATCAGTCATAACGACTATGGTATGTACGTGCTATGAATTGTATGCTACGAGCTATATAACTATGAATCGCTTGCTATGAATTGCCCTGGAATCCACGTTTAGTGAGAATAATGGATGGGGTGCTTACTTATCATTCAGCTACTTATCTCGCTAAAATATACCGTCCTCCATCATTTCCCTCGTGACTTCGATAAGCCTCTCCTTAACTGTGTTATTCGTTCCAGCCCCCGAACATATCTCAGTGAACGCATCCGTGAGATTTTTGTCGTCTCCCATGTCCTCCATGTTGGCAACTTCTTCTTTCAGTATTATAGGGATTCCCATCATAGCCATGTAATAACCAAAAAATTTTGCCCTGTGATACCGAAATCGGAGTGAATCCATGCAAAATCCGGGTAGCGTTGGTGTCCTTAATTTTTCACAAACGCCGTTGAACGTGTCGTGGTAAAGTTGGAGGAGGTCGTCGAGGTATTTCCGTCTGAATTCGAGGGTCGTGCAAAGGTAGATGAGGTTCTGGAGGTCGTTTACGACACATGCTTCAAGTGGCTTCTGGAGGTCGAGGAGAATGACTTCAAGAGGTTTTCCGGTCGCTGAGTCGTATCGGAATAGCATATTGTTACTCCAGCAGTCACCGTGAATTATGATTCGCCAAGGTTCTGGGGAGGAAGTAGGAACAATTTCAGAGATTTAGACTATGGTTTGTCAACTGACAATGGGGACATGGGGACCCAAATTATTTTTTGACCCTGTTAGTCGCAACTCTTCAGAAACAACATTTAGTGCGGCACTTGCGAATATGAAAAATTAGCAAGTTTCAGGCGCCGCTATTTGGGGAAAACGCTCGGTTTTCCGGCGGAACCTATGCTGGAGGCATATTGATATTACTGGCAATTCATAAATTTCAAATTTTCGTTCAGAAACTAATGAATCATGATCGTTAGTACGCTAAAATCTAATCACATTTAAATATATTATGTATCTGACGGATGTCCACTAATTTTGTACCTGGATTTTCTGCATCCCTTCCAAACTTATCTGAGGTCTTTACACGCATAAGTTTCTCAAATCCTTCCGCCGTACCACTTCCCGTAAACAGGCTAGATATCCTGTCAATCATGCCAGAAAACTTGTCTGCTACAGCAGTATAGGCATTTTTAGGGCCAAACTCTTTGTCATAAATCCCCTTCGCTTGTTCCAAATTAGAGCGGACGACATTGCTAAAAATTGCAACCTCTTCATCCGGCATGTTCGTCACAAGGCAAGGGAATTTCTGTGTAATATTTTCCTCCACGTGGTTGCGATACGCCCAGCTCACCGAATGCACTCTGGCCAGGGCAGAGATGACGAGTTTCATGTGGTCAAAGTCCAGAGGTTCTAATCGGCTAGTCATTCGAAAACCGTGCGTTTTACGGAGATCTTCCATAATGATGTAATTATCGAGAGATGAGATCGGTCCAGACTTTCGAGCATCACCTTAAAATCAGACTATGTTAAAATTCGGTTATTTTTTCATGAAATAACTAATTAATACCTTCCTCCGACTGGAAATCGATACATTCGCCATGCACGAATTTCGCATATGGCAACTTGACAGCGTCCTCCTTATCCAGACCAAACACTTCTTTTTGCATGCGCCTCAACTCCGGCATCCATTTCGAATACACTTCACACTCCTTGAAAAACAGGTTCATCTTGTTGGTCAGTTCTTGTCGCGAGGGGTGGTTCGGATAGCATTTAATCAGAAGGTGACGCTTAGTTCCGTCCGATAAGTTAATATCGACGGAGTAAATGATGCTTGCATAATTATCACCCGGTTTAGATCCAGGGGTGGCAAGATAAGAAACAATTTCCGGAGCAGAACCTCCGTTCGCCTCCATTTTTAACGCATTTTGCAAAAACTCTTGAGTAATTAGGTCATTGCAGTTGGTGGTGGGCAGGTCGGTGGGGCTGGTCGATGAGTTCATTTGTTCGTGGGTGGGAGACATTATCGAAATGCGAATGATAAGCACAATATAAAGTTGGATACTGACACTACAAGCAACTTTGCTAAACTGCTAATAATGTTTGGCAGCATGCGATTTAAATACACATGTACCACACCACAATATTCAGCATATATCTAATTATTATCTTCAGATTACCATCTACATATTTATTAAGGGGTGAAAGCCCTTTATAAGATCGTTATGTCCGTCTGTCTGTCCGTCCGTCCGTCCGTCCATCCGTCCGTCCGTCCGTCTGTCTGTCCGTAGCTCCGATAACTTTTGAACGAAAAGACATAGACACTTGAAATTTTGAACGTAAACTCCTAACGTCAATAGAGAGGACGAGTTCGAAGATGGGCACTGTAGGTCACACCCATCAAGGTCAAAAGGTCATGAAATGTCATTTAAAGGTCAAATTGCATACATGCATCAATTTGAATTGAAATACGGATAACACACTTCTTTCACCCCTTGGTTACATTCGTTGTGACGGTTTATTTATGATTTAATTGGTGTACTGATCTGGGATTAAAGCAACCTTGACCATTGTGAAAGTTTGATTCAGCTAGATATGAGAAACGTCAGACCACATGAGTGGCATTGATTAAAATGGATAAACAGTGGTCAATGGGAAGATTGGGATTGTTGAATAATTGGTGTAAGTAAAGTGACCCTGAAATCTCAACGTTTATTGTAACGAGTCACGTTGCTGTCTGTGTGTACAGACTGTACTTACATTTTTTGTTTTGTAGTTTAATGCACAAGCACAAAGATGTATACACGTCAGAGTCATAGGATTATACATAAGATATCAATACCCAACCGGCCAAAGTATATCTTATAGTGGTCAGAAAGATTTCATGCGCCTGACTAACATACGTCCCCAAGATCTCAAAATCAGGACGTAAGTGCACTTTAGGACGTCATATAGATGCACAAATGTCCGCGAAGATGATATCTTCCTATGATCAGTAGAGGACGTCCAAAAGGCATCCCAAAAATACATCCTAATGGTTTCCATGAAATATATTTATATGACCAATTAATTTCAACAAAATATTTCCAGAAAGCCTTTTGAGTGATTTATTCTCAAACAATTATAATCAAAATCAAACAAAAATTTCAAAACATAAACAACGGATTAATTAATTTGAAAAAATTAGTTTCTGCCTGCAACAGAGTTTGAGCCAGTCTGTCGTTGAGCTTGTTTCTCTGCGGCAATTGCCTGAAAATTGAATTAGATTATATTTTATTTTCTACCAATTATACAAATTAATTAAAAGTGTAAATTTATAATTCTTACATCTGCCTTAATACGATCAGGAGCATGTTGTAACCACGATGCCCCCTTCACCTTCAGTTCGTTCTCAGTAACTGATTTAATAAGGCGATTTTTTCTAATGGCACCTAGAAATTAAAATATTCAAAATTTCAATAGGTGTATGTTATATTTATAAAGTCCTTCATCAAAAATTTAGCTCACCAAATATGGCGTCCTTAAGTTTCAAATCCTTGAACGCTCGTTTTGGATTAATTTTTCTAATACCTTCCCATGCAAACTGAGAAGCGAGTTCATTCGTGAAAAGATATTCGAGTATTTTCTTCATATTTTCATTATAGTTCTTTCCGCCAAGCCATTCAAGATGAGTAATCTACATGGATTAATTGTTAAGTGGGCTATTGTCAATTAATTTACAATTAATTAATATAAAAATTGTACCAATTTCTTGAATTCAATGGGATCTTTGATTATTGTCTCCAAATTGTCAACCTGTTCCATCAAATTCATTGGAAATTCAAATGTAAACTCCTCCTGTCCAAACTGTGCAGCACTTCCTGCAGTGCCCGCCTCGATAAAATTCACAATTTTTACTAGTAGTTGACCCTGAAGATCGACCTTTTGGTGCAAGCGCTTCAAAGCTTTAACAACGAACTCATCAAACGGCACATTGTCATTTGATCGTGCTCCGATCCTAATTTCGGCACCTGATAAATGAATTTATTTTAGAATTTTTTCTAATGTAGTGTTGTAATAATATGTTAGCATCTCACCGCTAAAACTTGGGATAAGTTTTTTTTTTGGACTTTTCAAAGGAGTGTATTTGGCTGGAGTGGATTGAGCTACATTAAGTTAAGGCAATTAATTAAATCAATTACAACTATTTACGAATTTTAAAAAATTCCAAATTTAATTGTTTAAAATAAATTTCTTCCAATTTACCACTCGATGTTGATTTCCTGCTTGTGATACTAGTTCCACTTCCTTCAGCAATTGATAGCAAACCAATTGCTTGAGAAAACCGAGGTGCCGGACCGGGTGAGCGTGGGAGCGAAGGTGGGGGCGAAACATTACCAATTTTTCCATCATCACTCTCCCATTCACTGTCGGAATCAATGCTGGTTGGTTTATTCCGATGAGGATTAAGTGCTGCAGAAAATACTTTTTTTGACCTGGGCCCTCGAGATTTTGGCGCCGCTTCAGCTTCCGACTCCAAATTGGATGTTGATTCGGACTTCTTCAGATTGCTTCGAGCTTTCTCGTATGAGTCTAGTAATATTAAATTTTGTGGCTTTTTAAAAATATCTTTTTAAAAATATTTTATTTACTAACCATATTCCTTAATCACCCTGATTTGGTACTTCGGCCAAGTTGATCCGACCGTTTCTGCATTCATTACTGCCGTCATAATTCTTGTACTACTTTTGTAAGGTGGCCACCATGCTTCATTCTTTAACACAATCCAGGAAGTTGGAATCACGGCGACGTCGTTTGTTAGGACGAAATGGACGATAGCAAACTTCATTTTAGTCGATATGAAGAGGAAAGCCAACAAATGTGTTATCTTGTCGTAACAACACAAAGTATTTTTCTTCCAACTCTTTAAAATCCCAGCCTCTAGGAGAATCAAAGTTTGAGAAACTCACAACACCCAAGTCAATAGAATTGCACGGCTTTGTGTAAAATGATTGTAAATCGATGCACTCTTTACCAACTAAAAGTATTTCGCCACCCTCCGTTTTAGTAATTTGAGTAATTTTAATTAATTGACCACTTCTTAACTTACAAAAACAATTTCTACCATCTGCCTTTAAAAAAGAATTCTTGAAATTTACTGTAATAATTTTATTAGTTGAACTTGGTCCCTTGTTGACTTGACTGCCTTGCTTCTTCTGCGATTGTGCCTCCCGCTCTAACAATCTCCTGCACACTTGAGCCAATGGGCGATTTCCACTTTTGACAAGATTTTTAACTTGCCCCAAATAATTTTCGAAACAAAATGCACTGTATTCATTTAAATTTCCAAAAATTTTTACGTCGTCGTGCACATGTAATAACCCATGAATATTATACGATAGGTTTTCCTTTCCGTAAAGAGTTGCAAAATTTCGAACAAAATATTGTAAAAGCGTATTTGCATAATCTCCATATTTTAAAATTAAACCAGTGTTTGTAAATATCAAAACTGCAAGATGAAGAGCAAGGAAATGTTCATAGTATTTATTTGGTATTTGTTTTTCTAGTACCACCGGTCCTACATACAAAATAAATAGTCTATACTCTGTGGCTTTCCATCTTGCTAATTCATTTAATTCTCGTGGGCGTCGATTAAAATCGCTGGGAACGTACTTCTGCTGTTTAATTAATGCACATGTTATATCATTCATCACTTTTCCACTGAGTTTTAAATACTTTGGCTTTCCTGTTGTCCATAATTTTAGCAATTTTCTAGTTGCACCTAAACAAATTAAATGCATAAATTCGTACGGCACTCGGCTAACTAATCCAACCCCCAGGTCACTCAAAATTGTTTTTCCCCGGTGATGATCGTCGTCGTCATCGTCGCATAAATGAAAATCTCTATCTTGTCTTGGTTGATGACATGAGCTAGAAAATATAACTCTATTGTCATATCGTTCCCCAACTTGTTTGCACTTACTACATGCTGAGAAACCTGAATGATACTTCGTGCACGTTATAAATGCCCTTGCGGGGGCGTCACAAATAAAGCCAAAAATTATTACGCAGATCTTACGACCGTCGACAACTAAACCGTTAGTAATTAACTCTTTTGCCTCAGTCACAAATTCACTCAAGAAAACATTTTGATCTTTGGGTTTTCCTGGTCCATGAAAAATTCCAACGGCGAATGGTTTAGGTACAAAAGAAAAATCTCCACCCCGAACACAGCACAGTATTGGCCAAAGGTCACTTTTGCTACTTTTTGAAATGGGAATTCCATCAATATTAACTAAAAGTTCTATTGATTTTGGCACTTTATTTTCACAAAAATTTCTGATAAATGATTTGATTCCATTGCCTAATCCTAAATGAACGTACTGCCCTGGAGGAATTTCTTTTACTTCAAAATTACGACAGGTTCCCTTCAATGTTCTTGCATCTGCTGGAAGAGATTCGAAACACTTATGTTTTCTTAAAATTTTCAATAAATCACCCGTTGCTGATTGAGAAATTAAGTTCTTATTTGACCACAATTTTAATTCGTCGCACAATAATTCGCTTTCGTTTTCACTTTCCTCGTTCTCAGTTGAATCACTTTCACTCACAGTCCAAGTATCCAGTTTGACTTCGATTGGTTTTAGTTGAGGAATGGGAACTGGTTGATTATTTTCACTGACTTCAGGGGAGCTAATTAAACATGATGTATCTTTGTTTATTAATGAATGTGAAATAACTGGAGTTTGTTTTGGCTCAGAATTTCTGAGCTTGTTCAATGTTGCAGCTACACTTTTGTGCACCCTCCGACGTAATTGTCTTTGCGACAAATAAATCAATTCTTTCGGCATACCAAAAACCAATTTAAAAAATTGTCTGCCTCGAAACTAAAAGTAATTAACTGATCGATATATAGCGAATGTTATTGAATATTAAATTTGAATGTTTCTGGTTGGCCGCGGTTGCTTTGGGGGCACAGTTTATTATGCCTCGTAAAATTCATGAAAAACTGATCAACTTAAGATGTCCTGAGGTTCTCCTAACTTTTTGTCTCTAGCTCCTCATGGAAAACAGATCTTAGGGAGTTCCTAAACGCATGCATCATTTCATAAGATCCTTAAGACATCATAATCATATCAATTTGATGACATGTCCTGCAACTGACGTCTGGGACGAGAATGGGAAAACCTCAGGACCAACTTGGCCGGTTGGGTAGTTATGTATGATAATACGTAGAGTGTCGTAGAGCTGTGTACGTATGCAATGCCAGAAGTAACTACCAAGTTGGTTTAAATCGTATTTGTGAGACCACTTTTTCAAAGTGGATTGTACAAACTTTGTACAATCCACTTTGTATGTAATACAAAGTACTGTTTGCTTTTCCAGATACTATTTTGGGTTTTATAATGTCCTGGAGTATGACTTTACTTTAAAGTATCTATGATTTCGCACTTTTAAAGTCGATAAGACGGCTACTAAATGCATTACACAAATAGCAGATTGTCTATTTTTCCTCAAAATTGCCTCAAAATCTCAATACATGCAAATTTCTGAAAATTCGAGCCAAATTGTATCTATATTATGCCACATTTATTCACCTTTTCCTCCCACATTACGCATAATTAAAGCTACCCGACTTCGAATAATAATAAGTAGCTAACTTCCATGCAGTGAGGGTTCCCTCTCCACCATTCGATCACGTCCCGTTAAGCCAAGATTGGATATTGGCTGTACAAGTACATATCGTGGATAAGTGTATAAGTATCGGTCGTGAGAGATTGGCTTCAAGATTACTCTTACACTTTCTCGAAATCGATACCACCGGAAATTATCCAGCTTCTCAAACTCATTTCGGAATAGGGCCTATTGTTACTCAGAAGTAGAGGGGAAAGTTGGTCTGACTCTGGGTTTTCTCGGTTCAGGAAGTATTAGGGAACAGATTTCATTTCTTGTTATTGTCCACGAAAACCAATCCAATCAAATTCATGGAAGCCAAAGCAGTACAGCCAATAAAGCACTAGTAATACATAATGTAGTAGTAGTAGTAGTATCACTATTATGCATTATCGAGTGTATTATGGATAATAGTAAATGTAGAGGGAGGAATAATGTGGAGAAAGTAGGGCGAGATCGTCATCCATGCAAAATTATGGTATTATGAGTCCTAGAACTTTATGAGTTGCTTCAAATAACGGCAGAAATTCGAAACTGAACAGAATATTAAAGAGATTAAATTCAAAGGCGTGATTATTTCTGAAAATTTCGACCAAATTTTATGGTGTAAAATTTCATTATGATTTTTTATATTGTGTCAAAATGATTCTGATAAAAAATAATATTTCAAAATTTCCGAAAATACATCATCACTTCAAAATTCTCTTCTTTCCAGCGTGTCTTACATCCCCGCCGCCGACGCAGAAGTTTACCGTGACACGGTGCGCATCCAATCGCTCGCGATGACCTCCTCCTCCCCAATTCCGACCTCTTCCGCGACCACGTCTGATCCCGCGATCGCCACGTCGGACCCCACCCCGTCAAACTCTGCCCACACGACGACCACCTCGTCCTCCATCTCCTCGGAAGAACAAGCGCTCGTGGAAAGGTTCAATTTTCTCATTTTACACCAACCACTCGTAGCTTGTTCCTCTCATCTCCCCTCTTAAAGATTTCTTTCCCACATTATAGATCCGAGCTCCAGGTGGACCTCGTCAATTTAACGAAACCTCGAACCCCCGCCGACGGTCAGGAATCTCTCACCTCTCGAGGAACCGCCATCATCACGAGAAAAGTGTCCCCAGTCCCACCACCGTCATCCTCATCCACCTCAGTGTTCATTGGAGGGGACATTTTACCTCCGGCGACGCAACCCACCGTACAAAAACGGGTCGTCACCCATGTCACAATTTTCCCCTCGCCACCCCCACCGCCCGATCTCGTACAAGTTGTACGAGCCGCCCCCCCGAAACCATCGCCCAGTTCGGAACACTTGTCCGAGATTGAGGAACAATCAGTCTCCGTGTCGGCATCGATATCGGATAACAACATCCTTCAAGATAAGCCTGTACCTACGCCGAAACCGAAAACGCCGCCGAAAAGGGGACTCACCCCGTCGAGTTCGGTCGAGAATACGGCGAGTGTTTCGGGAGAGGCGGTAATTTCCAAGGAGAAGGATGCTTCTTCAGAAGAAGCGTTACTGTCGGGGTCGGGTTCAAGATCGGCGTCGACGTCGAAGGGGGCGAGTGGGACGGGAGGTACTGGTACTGGTTCGGGGGATGAGGGTGCGGCTCTCCTCTTGGCGAAGCATTGGGGTCCTGAAAGACTGGTCGAGGTGCAGCGAGAGGCTGGGAAATCGTTAGGAATTAGTATCGTTGGTGGAAAGGTGAGAGGATTCTTTTGGCGGAAGTTTGTTAAAAAATATAAGATCTAGAACTTAACTAACTTCTCAGTTATGTAAAAACTCAATGAAACGTATTCATTTAAACTTTATGTAGTAAAAGAGTTTATGTGTTGTCGTTTTTCTCTCATTTTTACGACCCGTGATGTAATTATGCCATTTAATGTTGTTATCTTTGCCTGTTTTTTTGGAATGTAGGTCGACCTATATAACGCCGGGCAGGACAGTGGATCCGCTATTTCGGGGATTTTCATTAAAAACGTGCTCCCAAACAGTCCTGCAGGAAGAACGGGACAGTTAAAGGTTCGAATTAGGAAAAATAAAAATCGAAACCAAATCAGTACTAAATAAAACTCAAATTTTTCAGACTGGAGACAGAATCTTAGCCGTAGACGATGTCGATCTGAGATCAGCAAGTCACGAAAAAGCCGTCGATGTCATTCGAGCTGCTGGAAATCCGGTTCGCTTCCTCGTCCAGAGTTTGGTGCAGTGGGTAAGTTCTTTTCTACCAGTTTTTTTTACCTACCAACTTTTTTACGGCATGTTTACTCTTAATAGTTTTCGTAAAATAATAAAATTTTATCAAGTATGTACTCGTATATATTCAAACCTTACGGCAAATCCAATCCAATCGCTGCAATAAACTAAAATATTCGCTGAGAATGGCTTCTGCATGATAAGGGCTGAGATTTCTGCGCTTGATAAGCTACATAACCCGCTTAAAAAACTTTGCCCTCTTCACCTCTGAATCTAAATTCCGATGATAAGTCTTCTTCTTCTTCTCCACCCTGATTATTTTTTTACTGTATCGTATCGTATACCATACTTATCCGTGTCTCGTCTCTCTGTCGTCTCTCTCTTGTCCCCCTTCCACCACCCCCAAAATCTAACAACACGCCCCCATTTTACTCCCGCAGGCGGACGGCCGTGGTCAAATCGGTATCGGAGTAACCATCGCAAACCACGAGGATTCCGAAGCGTCGGAACGATCTGAGGGGACCGAGACGAAATCCGTGTCGCAAAACGTGCCCTCTCAATCTCAAGAAGAATCGGGTGGTTCAACGACCGGCACAGCGACGACGACATCCACGGGATCGCGATCCTACACGACGACCTCCGCGACAACCTCGTCGACCGGGAAATCCTCCGCTACTACGACGAACGGTGGCGATAATACGCAACGCCGCCGGAGCGGGATTCCTCCCGGAGGCGAGTCCGTGTCTGAGGCTTCCGCAGAAAGTCAGATTGGTCGAGACGATGACGACGACGGGGACGAAGGTGACCATGAACTTGACGTTTTTGACGATGTCGTCGAAGGCAGCGTCGTTAAGGTGCAAGTTACGGCCCCACAACAGGTGACAAGTTCCCCACCACCACCACCGCCGCCACTAATTCAGGTGCTGCTTTAATAATATTAATCTTACCGGGGTGCGAAAAAAACACGACCAAAAACACCACCACTGCTTTCTCTTTGGGGTCAGATATTGAGTCAATATCGGCATTAAAATTTCACCAACAAGCTGCATCATGTATCGTGACGATACATCACTGCTTTCTAATTATGTATGCAAATGATACATATTTATGCACAACTTTAATGGTATTGATAAGAGGAGAAAATCCGCGTTTCTGATAAACTTAAGATTTCGCATGCATGCTTTAACTCGAGACGGGGTGAAAGTGAAAGCAGAGTTTGGACAAAAAAATCCAAACTTTGAAAACTTGGAGCCATTTCAGTATTAAATGCATGTCAGTTTTATAATACATTCTTTTAATTTGCACTTTAAAAAAATAATTTTTTGGGGATATGTACCTTTTTGAAAGTTATCTTTCACGTGTGTTTTTTAATTTGTTTTATTTTTCGAGTGTTGCACACATTCTACAAAAAATTTTCGAGAAAAAATGAGAGAAATCCACATTTTTTATAGAGCACACAAAAAACTGATACGAAGTGTGCGTGTCGTGTTATGAAAAAAAAGTGTTTAAAAATTTAACGTAAAAAATCAACACGTCCTCAAAAACCCTGAAAACACAAGACTTCCTCACCAATTTACTACCTATTTTCACCAGCACATACCACATCACCACTTATCCACACCACTTATCTTTTTTTCTACCTCATCACCACTTTCTTCTTCTTCTTCCTTCTTCTTTTTTTATCTCTCCTCTACTTCACGTAATTATTTCCTAAAAGCGCTAAATAAATTTACACCGGGTTGACCTCTGGGCTGGGTGGGGTTTGGTTGATGAGATAAATAAATAGCCACTTATTTTATAAATACTTAATTCGCTGTTGTCGGTTTCCTTTCGACGTGGGCTTAGTTGGAATCTGCCATAATAATTACTTGATTGGATTTGCTTTAACAAAAACAAAAGACACAAATCGAAAATGGATTGGTTTTTGACATATCCGGTTTATTAGTTAGTTAGAGAAAATGCGAGAGAGAAAGTGTGAAAGTATTTTTAGAGTGAGATTTTTGTTTTGTTTTTATTTTTTGAATATTTCCTAGAATTTTTATCCCCATAAAAAAATCCCGTAAAAAAATAAAGGTTTTATTTATTTTTTATTTTTGCCGCTTTTTATCTTGTCATGTTTTACTGGTATTTTTGAAATGGAAAAAAATTTCAAAATTCGTACCAGATTGAATTGGATACTTAATTAGCTTCTTAATTAGCTTAGAAAGTTGTTTGTTCGTAAAAGGCTTCTCAGCTGCAGTAAATATTTAAATATTCCATAAATAAATAAATACAGTAGATGATTTATTACATTAATTAATCTAATTTTGACTGATTGATTAATTACTGATTATAAAAAATACTTAACGAGACCACCCTGAACTGAGACTTTACTTTCTTTTTCTCTATTTTATAGTGAGGGAGAGAAAATGGAATGAATGATGATCGTCAAAATCTATGCAAAAATCCGACCCATCAATCCATCAATGCACAAAAAGTCAAGTAAAGCAAATCAATCAAATCAATAGTAATACAAAAAAATCGATACTTTTTTCCTCACCCTGACGAAAAACAAGACCTAAATTAACCCACTCACTCACCCACCCACCAACCCACACCCCTAAATTAATTAATTAGCCTTAATTATCACGAAAAATCATGATTAATTAATTTCCGTATCATTCCATCAACCAAAGTTCCTCTGCTCATGTATCAAAAACATCCTAGTTTTTTGTAGAGCTATGTATTTACATAATTAATTACGTCTCTCCTTTTTATCCTAACATTAATCCTACTCCTTAAAAAATCCTGATTATATAAATCACTGCTGGATCAAATGCATCATTCGCCGTCATCGCCCCCGAAAAAAAATTGTGGACTGGAAACAAGAGAGATTCTTCATTAAACGGACATTCAAAATTCGGAACGAATATAAATAAGTCGTAATTATCTAATTATTATTTAAAATTGTACAAGAAAGATGACATTAGAACATAATATTCCTTCATTAAAATATTACGTAAACTCATTTTTAGGCAGATACATATAAAAATTACGCAACAATTAATTAATTAACAATCAACACCTAAATTCATCGTGGCAATAACACATAAGTACCAAGATACTAAAATACATACTTAAAAATAGCGAGGAAAGTGAAAATAATTATGCAAAATTTAATTAATCCCACGCAGGAAGTTCCTCGCTAAAAATACATACATCGATTTAATAATACACACATTTACATAAATACTTTGCCTGGATTAGTGCTAACCTTTAGGTACATAATTACAGAGAAAGACGGAAATGCTTAACCTAAATACATTAAATTACATCAAATTCGTCAATAATCGATTCCTTAAATACCTATTTACTTAATTACATACATACTCTTACTGCCAGTAAATAGCCCTAAATAAAACAGGGCAAACTTATAACTGAAAACTCAACTTATGCAAAAATAAAGAGTGATTAATAAAATAAGTGAACTGACCTAATTAATTTACTTAATTATAAAATCTAGTTCAAGTCAGGCAAACAAACGGTACTATTAAAATTGTGGATAGCAAGGAGGAACTAATCATTAAGCTTTAAATAATAAATTAACAATTAATTATGCAGGTTAGAAATAAAAACAAACCAATTAGTCACACAACTTTATAAGGCCAAGGCTCAATTGTACTTGCCTTGATTCTCTACATGAAAAAAGTTCATCTTCTCATAAATTAAACCGATAAGTTACTTATCAATCCATACTAAAAAATTAATAGTCTCCGCCACCGCCGCCAATTACGAATGTATTAATCTCTTAATAAAATCCAACCCAAAATGAAAATTTCAAAGTTTTAAAAGTTTACAAAAATAATTAATTGCAATTAAAATCAGCCAAAGCAAGACAAAAATAATAATGGTTTGCAAGAAATTATGGAATGGGATAATTTTAATTGATTAATTTTAATTAAGATTAATTAAACTTGTTTTAAATCTAGAGCAGATTTTAAACAAAATATTTAGCAATTGTATGTATTTAGATTTTATTTTATTCCTTCTTTACTAGATTTTTGTTATGATGAATGTAAGAATAACGAGATTTTTGTATAGTTTATTGCCATAAAGGAATGGGGTTAAGTTTTATGAATTACAATTAAACATTATATTTAGGAACCTTAAATGGTGGAAATAATAAAAAGATTACGAAACAAAAATCCTTTTTTTCTTGCACTTTCTCCGACAAAAAAATGTGGATTTCTCTCAATTTTATCATTTCTTCCTCGAATTCTATAGTAAAAGCTGGAGTTAAACAAAATCATAAAAGTTGACATGGCCCTGAAAAAAAAACTTTTGTCTCGACTACATCGAGAAGAAGAAAGACGAGAGAAAGTTGGGAAATGGGGCGTAAATCGAATCCCTAATAATCTCCGAGTCACGATATAATAATCCTAAGCTGAATTTTATAACGTGAAAGCAAAGCAGTAAAAGTTAAACTGTTCAATGAATCTACGCATAAAAAGTGCATAAAAATTTAAGAATATCAAATTATCAGTGTAAAGAAAAATTGAGTAAAAATTAGTTGAATTCAATTTTTTGAAATATTCAAGAAATGTATTTATTGATCTTAAATACGTCTAGAGATCATAATTAAGCAATATATTCACGAAAAAATCGAGCTGAACTAGTTTACGCAAAGCGGTCATAACCAATTTTATTTAATTTTTATGTTTGTCGAGTTAAGGGCCCGGGGGAAGATTTACTTGATTTTATGTTAGCAACAATAATTGCCAGGGCCCCAAGATTATTATCGCTCTGTTAGGTTACGACCACAATTAATTGACACCGTTTCTATGGGACACTCACGTTCAAAAGCTTTGGTTTTGTCACTGCTTTTGAAAAAGTTTCCCTCAAGTCCCTCAAGTTTTTGAAAAAAGTTGTTTCTTTTGTTCCATGGATACTCAAAATGCAATTCCTGCCATTAATTTGGCAATTCTAAGCCAATTTGTCCTCACTTTACGACCAAATATCTCCACTGCACAAGAGGGCAGATCGTCAAAAAAAACTCAAGTAAAATCTAAAGATATGATTAACGCATTAAACATAATTTAAAAAATCTGCCCTCTTGTGCATTGCTGAATTTTATCGTCAAAGTTGATGTGATTTCTAAGCAACTTCCCCCAGGCCCTTAAACGCCGTTAAATATGATTTACAGATTTTAAAATTGATTTAAAGACTCAGATTCGTCGTCAAGGTTCATGATTTTTGTGTAGGTTCATAAGATCAATTAGCCAGCATATTTTCAAACAAAGCTTGACTTGACCTAGCGAAGAGGTTGAGGTTTCGAACTTGAAATTTTGTCGGTGTTAAACGCCGTTAAATATTATTTTTAGATTTTAAAATTTATTATTTATAATTTAGATTCTGTAGTCGATTGTAATTCGTGTAGAAACTTGTCGCTAATAATAATTCAAGAAAGTATTTTTGCTCCAACCACATTTTTCATCAGCATGAACACGAGCTTTCACCAAACTTTCACTCCTCCGCTCAGTGGTCCGTTAATACTTTCACCGCCATTATTACGACGATTACGGCATTCCTCCTACACCCACTTTCTCCTTACGTACGTACTTTGCCCTCTCTTTTCATAAGTCAAGGACTGCTTCACACGTGTAAAGAGAAAAGAATGAAGTGATGAATAGCGATTCTCTCTCTGTCGTCAGGAAAGCTCCAGGCAGCAGTGTTTCCCTCACTCAAAATAATTCGGTAACAAAATCGTCATTTTATTACTACGAAGGTAAAGATTTGAAACCGGAAGATAACAAAAATTTTGGGTGAAACTCGTTCTGGTAGAAATTGATGCACATTTTTTGTAAATCTCTCAGAAATTATTGTTACTTTTGGGTACCAAATCTTTACCAACGCGGTAGTACGTACGTCATGCTGATCCTCA